CAGAAAATTTTGTAGAATTTTGTTCTAGACAAAGTCTTAACTTTGTCTGGTCCTAGGAAGAAAATCAATTTAATTCCTAAGTCTGAATCGTATATCTGAATATGAATTTTCTTATATTTTCACAAATACCTGTGTATATTGGATAATTTTGATTTCTTTGAATAGTTTTAAAATAAACTGAGAATAAAGTTAAAGTTTACATTACTAAAAATATAGATACAGATGCAGCCATTTAAAACATGTGGGGTATTTCGCGGTACACTGTGGTGGGCATGTCGCATCAAAACGCAGTATCAAGCTGTGTATCATGCCATTTGACGTCATACCGGAAAGTATCCTGAATCACCTTGTAAAACTGCCAGGAGGAGCCAATAAAGCTTAACCTCTCATGTACAGCATTTGAGCTTTTAAATTTAAACTGTGTATTACAGCATGTTAATCATCAGTCATTAAAAAGTTGGTATATTTTATGAAACCAAGATTGCCCAGTTGGGGAAAAGTACACAACCTACCTTTAATAAATAATAGAATAAATATTCTAATTATGCAGAAAAATGTTATACATCAAAGCCTTTACTGAAGATATTACTAATAGTATTAATAATGAATGACTTTGGACAAGCTGTAAGCTCAAAGTATTACGCTGGTCCACATTCTTTCTAACCGTCATTTTAAACGAAAATACTTTAATTTGTTTCTTTGACAAACACCACAGCATGTCGTTGATCTAACTAACGAGGACAGGACATTAGTTAGCCAATATGATAAAGGAATAAATGACTTTTTTTGCTCATTTCTTAAGCACATATGTACAAGCACTTGGAATCTGTCCAAGCCCTACTTTGTCAGGCATTTTCTTTTACTGTAACGGACATAAAAACTCACTTGCTTTTAGTAGAGCGTTTCATAATTTCTAACAACGAAAATTATTTAAACTGCGACACTTATCATTCAACCAGAGCTCAAAATATCACAAGGATCCTCAAGAGCACAGCAAAGACTGTATTAAAAGATACTTGTATCAGATACATGAGAATCCAAGCTTTTTTACCTATGCTTTCTTTTCAGTATACCAGAGATTATGGTACCACTTCAGAAGGGTGTCAGCCAGTCAGATTCCAGGAATCGGTACTATAAAGAAAAAATACACACCAGTATTCCATTTCTTCCTTAACATTTTAAGCATCGAAGTCTTTAACTAACATGTGAAATACAAGTATAAAAAGTGGTAGTTTTAAGCTTTTCTGCTAATATAATATGGAATCGCGTATCTAACGAAATTAATAACTATATAATTATATTCATATGCTGCAACACAGTAGTACACGCTGTACAATGTCTGTTGATTCTGTATGTGTAGGGCTGTTTCACCTCTGCTCATGTGACCTTGTGGTAAGCCTGGTGGTCTACGTGCCAGATGTGCATTTATTAATACTGGAAAAAAAGCCTTTCTTGATTTCTCTAGTTCCTAGTTTCTCAAGTTCCCTTTAAAATAAACTATTATTCCACAATGCAGAGTATTACTTGGCCAGTATTTACATATGATATTTGTGATTTCAAGAAATTAACACAAGCAGCTTTTGGAGATTTAAGTGTTGGCTGAGTTATTGCAGGATAATAGACTAGAGATGTTGGTAAGAAAAATATAATTTTGGGAAAGTTGGGAATACACTGATAACAAGAACACTTCCTAATGGGGTTAGGCATACTTTTGATGAAGATGATGAAGTTAACAGACTGTTTGTTTACATAGATACTGAAATGAGGATTGGATTTTTGATTTTGTGTAGTTGCTAGCATTGCACTGTGTGTTGGATGCACATGAATTGAAGGAATGGGCAAACATAGCTGATGCTGATCCACAGAGCCAGCATATTAAGATGTTTATAATTAGAGGCAATTTGTTTAAATAACTAGGTATGGATACTGATGTGCAAGAGAGGTGGAAAGGCTGTTTCTTTAAGCCAGCACTATAAAATATTTTATTCTCAGTGAGGTGCTGCCATTTCATAGTGGGTTTCTAACACTGTGTATAGTTCCATCCACACAGTGCCTTTACTTCCATCCATTTCTAATCTCTTTATCCAGTACAGATGATTTGGAGCCTATCCCAGTAAGCAACGGACACAAGGCAGAATACACCCTGGACATTGCGCCAGTCCATCACAGGACAGACAGACACAAACACACACACACACCAGGGCCAGTTTTCCCATAAACCAATTAATTTACCAGTATGTTTTGGAGTGCGAGAGGGAGTCATATCACACATATGGAGAAAAACCATGTAACCCAGAGAGAACATGCAAACTCCACACACACAGGATGGCAGGAATTGAACCTAGGACCCCAGTGCTGCAAGATAGCAATGCTAACCACTTTGCCACCATCATAAATGGATGGATATCTTAGTTATCTTTCTAGTTCACAAGTTTGCATGCATAATTTAATTTTGAAAGCCACAGAGACATCGGGTACTACTGTTGTATTTATGAAAAAGAAACAAAACAAAAAGCATACTAATAACTGTGCCATCCTACTCCTTGGTTAACACATTTTATTATTTGTAAACAGTTAACATTGTTAGCAAAATATTTTTAATTATATTTAACCCTATTTTTTCTTTAGTTTTGTATTTTGTATTTTGTATATGATAGTCAGATTTAATGTATATTTGAACAATGAAAATATATTTTTACAAGATGCGGGGGAAAGTGAAACAACTTATTACAGTGCTAAATTTAATATTATTGATTGCTAATAGTTTATGCTAACACCTAACTTTCTTAATTTGATGTATTTAGAACAGTGAACTTAGTGTAACATACCATTCAGAAATACAATTGAGAACAGTTTTGTGGCATTTGTATGAAACGTTTCTAAAATGTATAATGTAACAAAATTAAAATTAAAATCTGTAATCTTTCCACTTGTATGTCATTAGAAAGTACAAGTTTCTGCTTTGTCTAAGGATGGTATCAAAAAGAAGTCTAAGTGGTGAGAAAGCTGTGCTTAATGATAATTAAGGGACTTAAAAGTAAAAAGAGATGCTTCAAATTGCTTGACTAATTTTGAAAACTAAGTTATAAATGCAGACGCGATTGGTGCATTTAGCGCTCCAGGCAGCAGAACTGAGCTCTGTGCCTCCTCCTTCTCTTGGTGCCGCGCCGAGTCTAAATATCTAAATATCTAAACATATGTATCTATATAGCAGGGAGTGTACAGCTTTTTAGTATGGATTACACTTTTCTAAAATGTATTTAAAAAATAAAAAACGATTACGATCTAATCTTTCCACGTTTGATCCGAAAATCCCAAGAGAAATAAATCTAAATGGGGAGAAAGCGAAGCTGAAAGTTTATTAAGATACTTAGAAGACAAAGATAACAATTTATGTTGCATTTGTCTGATTGTGAATAAAAAAATACATATAATTAAACACGCGTTTGCGATTTAAATCAAAACACGATTTAAATCAATATAAATGTTTACATTTTAACGCATACTGTACAGCCTCCATTTCTCTATAAAAAGTTAAAAGATAATTTGCGCAGCCTATGGGGGGTGGGGGGGTCTAGTCTCAGTGACAGCTGACAATCCTCCATACACTCAAGTGAAAAATTAATAATGCCAATGTAAACGTCGTATTTAGAATGTGTTGATGTTAAGAAATGTTAAGTTCTCTGAAGCTTTGTGATAGTTGACCCAGGCAGCAAAAGATCAGCTACACTGGGAAGATGCGACACCGAAGATATGATTAATAACCTTTTAAATCTGAAGGGAGATCTGAAGGGATCCCCCACACACACATGTGATAGAAGCAGGAAGTAGAAGCAGGGACAGTTGTCAGAAGGAAAGGTGACTATTCATTGTTATTAAAAATGAGTTAAATTCGATCATGTTGTGATAACCCGCAAGGTCACATGAGCAGAGGTGAAACAGCCCTACACATACAGAATCAACAGACATTGTACAGCGTGTACTACTGTGTTGCAGTATATGAATATATCATTATTAATTTCTTTAGATAGGCGATTCCATAGCATATAAGCAGAAAAGCTTAAAACTACCACTTTTTATACACGCTATTTCACATGTTAGTTAAAGACTTTGATGCTTAAAATGTTTAGGGAGAAATGAAACCGATTCCTGGAATCTGACTGGCTGACAACCTTCTGAAGTGGTACCATAATCTCTGGTATACGGAAAAGAAAGCGTAGATAAAAAAGCTTGGATTCTCATGTATCTGATACAAGTATCTTTTAATACAGTCTTTGCTGTGATCTTGAGGATCCTTGTGATATTTTGAGCTCTGGTTGAATGATAAGTGTCGCAGTTTAAATAATTTTCGTTGTTAGAAATTATGAAACGCTCTGTTAAAAGCAAGTGAGTTTTTATGTCCGTTACAGTAAAAGAAAATGCCTGACAAGGTAGGGCTTGGACAGATTCCAAGTGCTTGTACAAATGTTCTTAAGAAATGAGCAAAAAAAGTCATTTATTCCTTTATCATATTGGCTAACTAATGTCCTGTCCTCGTTAGTTAGATCAACGAAATGCTGTGGTGTTTGTCAAAGAAACAAATTAAAGTATTTTCGTTTAAACTGACGGTTAGAAAGAATGTGGACTAGCATAATACTTTGAGCTTACAGCTTGTCCAAAGTCATTCATTATTAATACTATTAGTAATATCTTCGGTAAAGGCTTGGATGCATAAAATGTTTCTGCATAATTAAAATATTTATGATAAAGGTAGGTTGTGTACATTTCTCCAAGTGAGAAATCTTGCTTTCATAAAATATACCAACTTTTTAATGACTGATGATTAACATGCTGTAATACACAGTTTAAATTTAAAAGCTCAAATGCTGTACATGAGAGGTTAAGCTTTTTTGGCTCCTCCTGGCAGTTTTACAAGGTGATTCCGGATATTTTCCGGTATGACGTCAAATGGCATGATACACAGCTTGATACTGCGTTTTGATGCGACACGCCCACCGCGGTGTACCGCGAAATACCCCACCCGTTTTGAATGGCTGCATCTGTAATTGGACATCTTAATCTTAATAGGTTTCCATCTTGCATGCTTCCTTCTAATGAGGAAAATTTCAGTGTAAAGATCCAAAAACAAGGTTCTAGATTGGTAGAAAAGAAAACTTCTTCAGCTTGCAGGGATTGTTATCCTGTAAGTCTGTATGTTGTTCTTTGTGATTTCTTGATTTCACTTATATCTGGAAACAGCAGTCATGAATGGAAAAAAGTAAAAGAGATCTTTGTTACACATCTAAAGAACGTGAAATATAGTATCTGATAGGTTTCCAATGAGTGGATTGTTGTGCAAAACCAAATGGTAGTTTTTCCATTGAACATAACTCTCAGTGTCTATCATGTTTTATCACTACTGAAAAAGGAATCCAAGAATAACTATATACATGTGTTATAAAATTGTTAAAATCATGCAACGCAATCTAAACTAATTTCTTACAATAGACTTTTAAGAGTTTCTTAATTCTTCTGTCTTGGAATTATAACATTTGGCGTTTCATTTTTGTAGTCAAAGGATAAAATGTACCCACCTTTTAAATGTTAGAAACATCAAATTCTATCAGTTTCTCTGTTAGATAAAGCATCTGTATTCTACTTAAATTTACTTACAAATACAACCCCTTTCCATTTTACACATGGAAAAAATAACCAAAATATGCATTATGAAAACAACCAATCTACAAAGAAGAAATCCACCTTAATATCCATAAATAATTGACTTGTTCTCATTGATTATACTATACAAGACTAGTAGTCATGTCATATAAGTCACATGCTGTGAAAGTGAACGTTATGCTACCAAAATGTTTTTTTATATATATTTATGATTAAATGGCATATGTTTATGCAGTGTTCCAGTGGTTTGAAAATAGCCAATGACCCAGAAATTTAATATTAAATGTGTCTTTTAGCCTTAGTGACAAGCTTTCATTCCTGAAACATAAGGTGATTCCTGAGATCTACAGATGCATTCCTGCTGCTCTGTACAGTCTACGAAGTCTGGTACTGGAAGGCCAGACATTATCATTACAGATTTGTTCCAGATCATAAAGGTGGGCACCACTGGTAGAATGAAGGAGATGTCAAAGGTGTGTAGATGCTGGGAATTCATAGCATCATAGAAAGACAAGATATTGTTGTCATAGTCCAAGAGTATGCCCAGTCTCCTTAGCTGTAGGCTTGCATCTACAAGCATCTCCTTGCTGTTGTGCCGAACAGTAAAGTTGTTATTGCAACGTGCGAACACCCAAGAGGAGGAGTTCTTCCCATTCCACTCATTCTTTGGGGCTGATTTATAAGCCACACCAGCTGCATACCTTGATAAAACACAACAAAGGTAAAGCTAGGTAAACAGAGAAGATCTCATTTATGATGGCACTGTATCATAATTGTTTTATAAATATACTCCAAAGTATCACAAATTATGAAGTTATTAACAAGAATCTTTACTTCTAAATTAGAAGGACCTGAATTATACTAAATTTAACATTGCACACACAATAAGTCAGTGGTGACTTTCATAGTTTCTAACCAGGGTAATGACTTTAAGGTGTATCACAAACAAAAATCATAAGATTGTTAGTAGTTCATTGAAGGTAAGCAATTACATGTGCATATCAGTGTACGATAACTCTTAGTATAAAACCTAATTCTAATTTTGGGGGCAAGTTAACCTTTTTACTTGTTAGCTTGTTTGTTAGGGCTCAGTGCTCTGAGCGTATTACAGAAGTAATATCACTCCGTTGAAATCTAGCTTTGGAGGACATATCCTTTTACATAGGAATTATGTAAAATTAGAGCTAGGAATTAGAGCAAGTAGAGCAAAGCTACAGTGTTACATGTGTAAGTACTTAAAATGAATCTATCCCTTTTCCATGCAAGACAACTATGACCTTACAGTGTACAGGTTCCCAGTAGGACCTCCCAGTAATGACAGCCACTGTCAATGAAGACATTTCCAGCTGCTCCATAGGATCCAGTGCTGCTGAACCGCTCTGGTGTGTGACTCTTCTTCAGTGAGCTTTCATCTTTCTCCATTGTCAAGCAGTCATTTGACAGGCGTAATTTCTTGTGGGCTGTTTTGGGATCCAACTTGAAAGGCTGACCTAGAATCATTCAAACAAAGCATAATAAATTGTCTTCCTAATCAACCAAATTTCCCGTAGCATGACAGAATATATAAAAAAAGAAAATCTCTTTTTTAAAAATCCAGAAGGGAAAGTCACTGATCTGTTAGTTTCTGATAATTTTGTAAAGTCTGTTGAGGGTTTAAAGGTAAGGGGAAATCATCTTGGGTTAATAAAAGCTAGCTTTGTCTTTCAAAGATCTTTCCCTTAATTTCACTGAAGGTGGAGCAACCCCATCACCATATATCCACCTCCTTTTCTACCCAAGAGAAAAGGTATTGCTTATAGAATCAGTTATATAAAAGATGAAATAATATTTAGTACCTTGAGTTCATAATCTGATTAAATTATATTTATTATATTGTCATATATTTATGATAAAATTCACATTTGTTTTGTTCAGTAAATTACTTTGTACAACAAACTAAGAAGAAAAAAGTTCAGGTGGGTAGCTGTGTCAGCATGCGTAGGCTGCAAAGGAACAAGTAATATGTTTATTCCATGCTGAAAAAAAGAAGAAAGAGAACACAATGTTTCGGCCGTGGAGCCTTCTTCAGGTGTGAGAGAGACAGGGCAGTAGGCAAAGGTAAAGTAGCGGGAGAACAAAGGTTGGGAGGGAGGAGGAAAACAGTCTTTGAGAACACAGACGGAGAGATTAGAGTGGTCACTCATTTCACCTCTGACGGCCACGACCACTCTAATTTCTCCGTCTGTGTTCTCAAAGACGGTTTTCCGAACTCATACATCAGAAAGACCACCGAAACTAAAATGATTCTGCAGCTAGGATCACACATTCTCCCTTCCCTTAACGACAGACTACTGTTCTTTTACATTTTCTCCATTCATTGGAAGTTTCATTTCACACCTCTCTGCACCCATTCTGACTTCACACCTCTTGATTGGCCTCTCTTTCTGTCCCCTGCTCCCGCCTCTCACTCTTCCTCCCTCCCAACCTTTGTTCTCCCACTACTTTACCTTCGCCTACTGCCCTGTCTCTCTCACACCTGAAGAAGGCTCCACGGCCGAAACGTTGTATTCTCTTTCTTCTTTTTTTCAGCATGGAATAAACCTATTACTTGTTCCTAAGAAGAAAAGATACTTCTAAGATGGCACAGCTACAATAGAAGCTGAAAGTATTCAACTTACAACTCTGGACTTGACATTAAAACCACACACTTAAATCTCCCACCCTAGTTTAGTGTGTTACAATACATTGGAGGAATAAAGGAATAAAAACAATGGTTCTATTTGCATTGTGTTTCTCAAGTTACATTATTTTAGAATACAGTAGTGAAATAAGAAAGAAGGTGTACACAGAAAAGTATAACGTAGAGCCCTTCTTAAATGTTTTGACATTAAGCTTTCCATTTTTATGCTAAATATTTTTTAAAGAAACTCCTCAAGTATTCCAAACATAGAAAATTGAATCTGGTTAAAATAAACTTTTAACAGAAACTTACTTTCACTGTAAATCCAATGAGTTGTAAAGAACTATTTGTTGAAAAAGTTATATTGTCTTCAATAAAATGATAGCAGTTAACAAAATACCTTGAGTACCAATAAAGAACAATTAACTTGACATAAATAGAATTATTGATTCAATAAACAGCATTCATGATTGTTGTATCAATAAAGTTATATTCAGAAGGTTGAGTAATGTTATATCTAAGGTGTTATTACATTTCTTTCATTGCGTCTTAGAAATGCATATATTGAAAGTTGGAATTCAAAGTGCGCAACACAGACATGTACCACGGGTAATTGGCTACGTCATCACGCGTCATACCACGGTACGTGATTGGTTGACCGACAGGGACACTCGTGGTGCATTGGTTGGTCATAGAAAGATTTAAATGTCTTTACTGTGCCTGTTTTAGAATTGAATATTTATGGAATTTTACCACTGAAGGGAAATCTTAGTAGCTGAGCATAAAAAGAATAGGAGCATAACGCGTGTGAAGGCCATAAATGATATAAATTTTGGAACATAAACATACAGTATTACAGTATATGGCTGGTCTCGGTACTTTAAAGAAAAAATACACACCAGTTTTTCATTTCTCCCTAAACATTTTAAGCATCGAAGTCTTTAACTACCATGTGAAATTACGTGTATAAAAAGTGGTAGTTTTAAGCTTTTCTGGGAATACTCGATACCGGAGTCAACAAGCATACTTTTAGAATTTGATTAATAGGGAATATATTATGGAAGCGCTTATCTAAAGAAATTAATAAAGATATAATTATATTCAGCTACTGCAACACAAGAATAGTATACGCTGTACAATGTCTGTTGATACTGTATATGTAGGGCTGTTTCACCACTCCTCATCCAACTGTGTGAGTAGTCTGGTGGTCTAGGTACCAGACTTGTAAACAATAGGTTAGGTGTTCAAATCCAGCTGGTACCATAACTTTTCCTTTAACAAACATTTCTTTGAAATAATAGAATAGCAAAATTATGGACAATTTATTGACTTTTTATATTTCTAAATATCACAGCATGTTCAGATCTAAGTCATTTTTTAATAACAATTTTTAATAGTCACCTTCTTTCCTTCTGACAAAGGTTCCTGCTTCTACTTCCTGCTTCTTTAGATCTCCCTTCAGATTTAAAAGGTTATTAATAATATCTTCGATGTCGCATCTTCCAAGTGTAGTTGATCTTTTGCTGCCTGGGTAAACTATCACAAAGCTTTAGAGAACTTATCATTTCTATTATCAATAAATTGTAAATATGACATTTACATTAGCCTTATTAATTTTTCACTTGAGTGTATGGAGGATTGTCAGCTGTCACTAAGAGCAGACCCCCCCTCTTAAGCTGCGCAAACAATCTTTTAGATTTTTATAGAGAAATGGAGGCTGTACAGTATGCGTTACAATATAAACATTTACTTTTTCAAACTGTCAAACTTTAAATCAACAATTGACTTGAAGACGATCTGTCAAAGTGCAATGAAACCTATTACTTGATTCTGATGGATGCCCGATCCCGCCAGGGATTAAAAAAAAAACATGGAATCGCGTATCTAAAGAAATAATAGTATAACTATGTTCAGGCACAAACAGTAGCATGTTATATTATTAATTTGGGTGTCTCCTCTTGCCAGAAAGCTCAAAATTGCATTTTGAGTGCGGTTTTTGACTTTTTTTAAATTATAACCCATAAATAAAGCTAATACTGTTTAGACTTTTAATTGTTTTAAACTGTATTACAGCAGCACAATGCACAATGCCACATAAATCGCTACCTTTGTCTTCTGCGTAATAATATTCAACTCTCTGTCCAGCAAATTAACAATAGTAATAATAATGAACTTTATTGAATATAGCGCCTTTAAAGATGGCTTCTCAAAGCGCTTTACAGGATAAAAAAACAATAACAACAATACTCTTAGGCTGGGCAAATGGTTTTTAATTTTTTTTTAAAAGAAATAAAAAATGAGATACAGTGATGTGTTCCAGCTTAGACAATGCACGACTTTAAAACCTATAAAAACAGATTTTGAGAGTTAATAACCACTTTATATTCACGAAAACGGGTGATCTTTTGCAGCTGACATTTCACTGTTTTAAACAAATAAGAAATTAGATTGCTCATAAATCTAATCACTTATTCTACATAAACACAGGGTAATTGCTCTCTAAAAATGCTCTTTTTCTTGTTGGTTTTGGAGACCTTGATTGAAACCGATTTGAGATGTCAGAATTGATTATTTTCTCTTTATTTCTGTGTGCGCATTTCCTACATTGCGTTGTTTGTCGAGATTTTAACTTTATATTTAGGCTCAGGATTTCAACTATAAATCATACACTAATTATTAGCGGTAAATACTGACGTTTTGGTCCCTCTTACCACAAAAATATATATGTATTGTAGCTGGGATTAACTTTTTTTCATACGTGTCTCAACCTACTGCGACTCGGACAAGGAACAGTTAAAGATGCCGACAAGTCAGGCACCCAGAGGTGGGGGGGGGGCGTCTTTCCGCCTCCATAACTAAAATGCCAAATAGGAGTGGCTTAAGAAACATACACAGTCGTGTAACTGACAGTTTGAGGTAGTCTATTGTGTACATTTTGCTTTGTTGCTGATAGATTAAGCTTTCTAAACCCAGCCCCAAAGTCATGCAAATGATTTTTTGCCCTGTTTCATTGGTTAAACACAATGATCACAAGCACCACCATGGTAACTGGGATATGTAGTTTTTAATTCAGTTCGAATTATAACTGTACGTATTGTCTTCGAAATTGTCCAGGGCATTAAAGAGAGGGCACACCAAAATTTTTCAGAGCTATCTTCTGAGCTTTAAAGGTACCCCCATCATGGAAGAATTTGACCTCAGAACATTTACCCAGTGTAA